AGACAGACAGACAGAAAGTGGCATAACTGTATTTATAGAGTGAAAGACCTCCTCTCCTGGAAGTCTTCTGGGTCTATGCAGCCTGGCTAGGTCACCTTGCTTCAGAGTAGCAGTTCGGTATATCCTGCAGCTAGTACCTATCTAGGTGAGTACCTATCTAGTCTCCTCACCATCTATATTACCTTACTGGCAATGAAAGGTAAACATGAGAAAAAGTCTCCTGGCCTTGTAGTAGAAAGGTATGTGACTGGACAGTTTTAATTCTACTCCTCTTTTGGGAAACAGACCAAATCTCACAAGAGATAAACAAAATCAAAGCTTTATTTTAAAAGACGATACTATAAAAATATGTTAAACTTTCAATACTCAAAATGCAAACCTTCAGTGTTGAATGATACAGCTGCAACTTGGTCAAAAAGGGGAAAAAAACACCAATCCTCAAATAACAATGTAATGCCTGAATAGACCAAACGATGGCAGTGGTCAAATTATTACAAAAACAGGTAGTTCCTGCTTAATGACTTGGGACTGGAATCTCAATCATTGAGTGAAGCAATCATTAAGCAAGACACCCACATGTCTGCTTCGCTGAATGACTATAATTCAGGCATTCTTTGAGAATAAAAGGGCTACCTGCTAGAGGGTTCCACCTTGTCCCCTCCGCTTGCAACCTTCCCCAACGGCTTCCCCGTTGACTTTCTGGGGAAGCCAGCAGAGAAGATTGCAAATGGTGACTGAGTGATCGTGGGGCACTTGGCAGCTGGTCGTAAATGCAAGCTGGTTGCCAAGTGCCTGAAATGCAGCCACATGACTGGGGGGGGGGGGCAACGCAACATTTCACGATGGATGGAAGTGCTTTATGGGCCTTTCTGAAGTCACTGTAACTTCGAACCATTGTTAAACATATGGTCATTAAGCAAGGACTATCTCTAGGATTTCTCTTTATTCTTCTTCTTCTTCTTTATTTGATTTATGTGCAAAAGTGATTCTGTGTGGCGATGTGATGGAATGGGATTATGAAGGCCAGACTCAGGGAGAAAAACGTTTTCTTTCATCTCCTGAGGCGTGAGGGAA